CCATTTATGGAAGCCATATGCATTGTTTAGCATCGTGCTGACAACAACCACTAAGAAAAACAACAAAATTACGCAATTATACAAAATGCCACGCCTGTCCCAAAATGAGCGTCTGCGAGCCATTGGTATACTTGAAGCAGGATCGAGTCAACGTGATGTTGCAAGACAATTTAACGTCCACCGAAACACCATTTGGTGTTTATGGCAACGTTGGCAACCATCCTCAGAGTGGCAGGCCACGCGTAAGCAATTATCGACAAGACAACTGGATTCGAACACCTACGAAATCGATTCCAGCCAACAATGAAGCATCTCTGGCCTTCGACGAATATCTTCTCAAACCGTACGTCGTCGCCTCAGATGTGCAGGGATTGTCACCAGAAGACCCGGCAGACGTCCCACTTTGACAGGAATCCACAGTCAAGCACGTCTACAGTGGTGCCATACAGTGGGTACAGTGGTGCCATGCAGTGGGAACAAGTTCTATTCACTGACGAGTCTCGTTTTCCACCTCTGCCACAGCGATGGACGGATTTGAGTGTACCGGTGTCGAGGTGAACGTTACGTCAATCATTGTGTCATGGAAGAAGATTGGTTCGGGGACGGCAGCGTTATGGTATGGTTTGGGATTATAGCATGACAGAGGACCAATTTGACAGTGGTAGAGGGAAATCTCAAAGGACGGCGCTTCCGCGACGAGATCATCGGCCCTGTTGTTCTACCGTTTTTGCGTCGTTTGGTGTCCTGGAGGCAACTTTCAGCGTTCTTTCTCCTTGTCGATGGTGGACACGATCTCAGCCATCAGCTCTGAAAGGTTGGATCAATTCTCCCCTGCCAGTGACTGTAATTGGTCTTTTGTCCTTGTACATTTCAGTCCCAGGGGCTGTAAAACCATACCGTCTTTTTCTCTTTGACACCCGTTCTACGACGAGATATACGAGTCCAGTTGCCTGTGAAGACATCAGTGTCAGGAATCTGCTTCAAAGAAGAAATAAGAATCTATCGACCAGCCATGTCCACTGAACCCCGTTTCTGGATGCAGCAGACCAACAGCTCTTTCTCTTTCTTCCTGTGTTGATCGTTGCATTATCATTAGGATTGTCAAAGACAGTATAATTGTTACGTGTATTGGAAAAAAAACAGTACTTCAGTTTCAACGGAGCGATGTAAATTACCCGGTTTAGATTACATTGAGTCAACAAGGAAGCAGATAGTCAGCTGTGACAGTTAGCATGATGTAAGAAGGTTGCATGCTTGTCACAACGAACGATTACCCTGTAGCCGTGTCATGTTTGTCTGGAATCACATAATTGCAATTTCTTAAAGATGCTAACCCAATTGTTAAACCCAAATTTATTGTACAAGGACTGAACGACCTGTGCTACTATGTCACTGATTTAGTACTGTTATTTATATTGTGACATTTATAGCCTTAATCTATTATTCGCTGTTTCAGTAATCATGCCCATAAGTCGCATGTCCAGGGCAACTTATTTATTTCTTCGTCTGTCCGTATTAGTTACATTTAAACTGTAAGTCAGCCTGGTGTAGGGACGACGTCGATCAGGATTGCTGCTCGTAGGAAATGCCATAAATTTGAGCAGGAGCTCTGCTCACCTCATGTATGTCTGAGCTGGAAAGTCCGCTCATCTGTGTATTTGTGTTGTAAGAGCTGGTATTCCGCTCATTGTGTATATGTTGTTTTTGCATATATGTTGTGCATTAAACGTACTGGCCGATGTTGATATTCCACAAGAGCTAATTCCCCCTCAACATATCCGTTGACACTTTTCTCCAGCAATAGTTTGTACTTGAGGTGAGTGTCAGCTGTGTCCGTGGCCACTCACAATTGGGAAACAGGATAGTTTGCACGTAGCCAGCCTGTGTACGTGTAAAGTATGCAAATAAAGTTAAAATTATGGCTACTGTAGCAACAGCTATTTCATGTAACCCGTTACGGGCCTCAACCCTAAACATTCCCCCATGCCTATGTAGTTGCTTCCTGTGGGACATGATCCCACAACCTTATATCAAGAAAACACGGCAACCACTTACCAAACAGTTAGGCAAGAAGGGTGGTTTTCATGAATTTGTCCTTCATGTCAAACAATGTGACTTCAACAATTTTCACTTGTTCAGAGATTCAAGAACATTACATTTAACTCATGGAAATGCTATTTTGTTTACAGCAATGATTTGTCATCTTTCTTTCGACATCATAGGCCTGGTTAATTCAATTTAAGTCCGAAATTCAATGACACACATTTAAAAGGACTTACTGAAAAGGATTCATTGCTTGTCATTGGTTTATAGCCAGATCAATACCAACAACTAGATTTACTGGTCCAGACTCTAAAGTGTAGGACACCGTCGTATGGCAAGAGTATTTGTTTGAAAACTGTAGACCAGGAGTGCGTGAGAGAAATATCTGTATGTCCAGTTTATAATGACTTAAGAGCAAAGGTGTAGATAACTATTTCTACCACAATCCAAATGTTAACATTTTTTGGGTGTAAATTGATGACATGTGATTGTACAGCAACTGTCATATTACCTTTTGTCTGTGTTTATTTATCATGCTATGAAACTAAGAAAGTGTCTGAATTTGTAACACACTCCAGACTATGTACAATAGGCCTTTATCCTCTTTTGTATCACGAAGAAGAAGAAGAAAAATATTTTATTAAGCTGTCACTTGATGCATAAAAACAGTAACATGAACTAAAAATACATCCACATAAAAATAAACATTAGCGTAACATCAACATTTAAATATAAAAGATAAAATATACATCAATATATTAAAACGGGATTAATTGGGTAGTGGCATGATATTAAGAGAGTTCACAAGTTACAAGAAAGTGTATTTCATCTTCAACACAGTTGGTACAAAACAAGTTCATCTACGTACAAAAGTAACACATGATTGAATAAACTTATTTCTACATGAGATAAGAATACCAAGATATTTATAGCATGACACCACTTCAAACTGTTCACCTTTAATAAACCATTTTCATGTTGGAATAGAGGCCCTCCATTTTTAAATACCAAAACTTTACTCGTATTAATGTCTTCTTTTAGTCCCCATTTATAGCAGTATCTTACTAGTTATTTTGTTTTGCAGATATAATCAGCAAATATTAACACATCACAAAACTATTTCATCAATATAACAATCAATGAAGACACCACGAGTGTCATCACTCTTAATATCATTTACTAGTTCATCTTTGTACATAAAAAACAGTAGCAGTGAAAGCATTCACCCTTGTCTAAAACCGCATCAGGTGTGAAATAAAACGGTAAAATGCGAAGAGGTGAGGTGAAGTTTAACGTCGCGTCCAAGATTATTGCACTTATATAGCGACGTGCTTGCACGTGTATGTGTGTGTGTGGCTGCTTGTACTAGTCCGGACTGATGCCAATTTATAGTGCTAGCACTGCAGCAGTTTAACATGAATACCCCGTCTTTTGGTATGACGAGGCTGGGGATCGAACCCCGGACCTTCCGCTCTACAGGCGGACGCTCTACCTTTAGACCACGGAGGCGGTCGTAAAATGCGAAGAACTATGTATACATTTCAGTACATTAAATAAGTTTCCATGGATGCATTGTGTCAAGCCTAAATACACTAATTTTGTCATATCAGATTCTGAGATTCTGACGCCGTTTACATAGAGCATAGCAATCCATCATTGTTAGATCTGTGAATAAGTGGAAGTTCAAGTTCAGTTGAAATATTTTGCGATATGGTGCTTAACATATTGTGTACAGAAGTAAGAAAAAGCATTGAAATTATGTATTCTGAATATTGTAAATATACTTTGAAAATAGGATACACATCTTCAAATGCTTCTGTATTAGGTGAACTTGGAAGAACGAGAATGTATGAACATGGTGTTGTGAGAATAATGAAGTATTGGATTAAGCTATTAAGAATGCCTCTGGGTAAATATCCAAAGCATTGCTATTTCATGATATGTAAATATGATCAATTAGGTTACAAAAATTGGGTTTCATTAGTAAGATATACATTGTTTCGTCATGGCTTTGGTAATGTATGGTTGATATAAGATGTCGGAGACTGTGATGTTTTTATTTATATATTTAAGGAAAGAACAAGTGGTTAGTTGATGCAAGAAGGGTCAGATTGTGTATCTTATTCACCAAGGCTAGATTTACATTGCACCTACAAATCCTTACTAAAACCAGCAAAATATCTATCATCATTTAAGACTGTAAACATGAGAAGATCTTCAACAAAATTTAAATGTTGTTCAAATGATTTTCAAACACATAAATATAGAATGTCTAGTGACCATGTCTTTGCTGACAATTTCTCTAAAGAAGACTTAGCTGAAGAATACCGTGCACTATGCATGTTCTCTATCAGCATGTCTTAATATCTTGTTAGTGCTTTGTACATGTTATAGACGTATCATTTACATTTGACATCAATAGAATTCTACACAATACATCATAAATCACGCATATATGCAAAACACAACACAATAGTCAGCCTTCTCCCAAAAAAATTCACCCATGTGAAATAGATAATAATTTTGGTTGAGATCAAATATGAAGCAGTAAAAGGAATTTACATAAAACCAGGAATTTTTATGTTTATATTTTATGTTATATTTATACAATAAATAAACCCATGTGCCAAGCCAATGATAATCATTTGAAAACATGTATATAAGGTTGTAACATGTTGTTGACCACATGTGCGTACAATCAGTTTCAAGGCATCCATCCAATGCAAGCGTACGTATATCTACATGCAATTCGGTTGTCTACTGATTAAATATTTGCTAAATATATTCAACAGATATAAATCTTGATTATTGATATAGTCCAAATACAGATAAAACATACCTTCTGAATATCACAGTGTCCTTATAATAGAGTTTATGGGTTTGCGTGAGTGAGTAAGGATTTTCGCAGATTTTAGCAATATTCCAGCACTATCAAAAGTAATGTGCTTCACACACTGTAACCATGTCGGGAATCGAACCCGTATACCGGGTCTTCGGCGTAACAAGCGAACGCTTTAACCACTAGACTACCCGATCGCCTCGTTTGAGTTTGATGTTATTTTTAATGATGATGATCTACATTGTATTTCCATACATATATTTTTCTACTGGAAAACAAAAATATTTGCCAAATAATAAGACGGAAAGGACCGATGTTTGGTGCTCAAAGAAAATAAGTATTTTAGTTAAATGAATTCTTGCTAATATAAGACAGTTTCTTTCTAATATTTCAATTGGAAATGTAACCGCTTGTTATTTGTCCTTCCAGTTAGTCCCTAGATATCGTTCTATGGCCTCCATAAGCGCCTGCACTTTATGATTAAATTGTCTAAGTATATCTCGCGAAATATTTGGCTGATTTTGCAGGTTAGTTCTATCTGAGTTCTACATGTTATCACGTTTAAGAATGGAGCATTTAAGCACATTTGGTAATGAGTGTTTGATATGTTCTTAACATAGTCATACTCAATTGACAAATTTGTTAATAGAAAATTTGTCATTTATTGGACCAGGGGAGGCAGTAGAGAAGGCGAGAAGGATGAATTTTGAAGTAGCTGATGGGTTTGGGGTTGATTTAGAACAGTTATTTAATTTGTTTAGTCTTCATCAATTTGCTAATTGGATTTTTTAGATTGGTTGAGGTAAATGGTATTTGATGTGTAGTTTGGATAATTATAATGGCTTCTGTGGGTTGGATATTTTGTGTTGTTCCATTGTTTGGTAGTGAGGTAGTGAGGGGGTAGTGATATTACTGAGGGGTGGCCATGGGGGTGGGGGAGATTTAGCTTAGACCGAAATTGATTAGGATTAATTTGGTGTGTTTGGAAAATCATACTTGCTGGCTATTGGTGGTTAGTGGGGTGTGATGAGGAAGCCATGATTAATAATGATGAAAAAGAACTATAATGAACTTAGCGAATGGAGAGGTGTAGCAAAGGCCAAGTTGACGGTGGGCGGGGCTTCGGTTGTAGAGCAATGACTGCTGTAGTGGTGATGGTGGAGAAGGGATCGTTGACCTGCAGCTGGGCTTGGCCGGCCTGCCGATGAGTGGCGGTGGGGCTGGCTGATGACGGAGAGCTGTTGTGGAGACTTGAGTGATGTTGTGAGGTTTAGGACCTGAAGAGTTGAATCAGGCCTGAGTTGGAGTTGTATCGGCCTGAGGGTGATGTTGACGGGAGAACCACGAATGAAATGATGATACATGATACATGATGGAAAGATTTCTGTACAAGCTTATATAGTAGATCCACTTATGCACAATGACACATAAGGATCATTGCAGCTGCCTCATCATTCTGAAGTTCTTGAATAGTGAACAGTTTCTCTTGTAGAAAGAAGAAGGTTTACGGAAACACTTTTTATCACAATGTCAAGACTTTCAAAATAATTGGTGTTTCCTGAAGATTGTTCCAAATCTAAAAATCTTGTTCACTTGCTTTTGTCTAATGATGGCTTCTTTGCAAAATTTGTTTCGAAAACGCCTTCATATCTTCAAATGTCTATACACGAAACTCCATGTTAAAGTTGATGAAGGGAGGACCGCTAAAAAAGTAGTCTCCTACTTCACCAAGCTCTGGAATTTGACCTGTGTCACTGTAGGTGTTCATGGTAAAGATGGCGTACAACTTTTGTACATTTTCAGAATGACGCTTTTTCAGATTAGATTTTAGTTCATGCAAAAGCCTTTGAAGGAGTGTTGCATCCTTTGGTAATTCAACCGTCTTGAATACGTCATGAAATATAAAACACATGTCTTTCCCTTGATTTACATAATGCTGCAGGTTAAATTTCAAAATATCATTAACACTAACAACCTCATAGCCTTCATCTCGATACTCTGTTCCTAACGTTAAGGCAATAGTTGTGTTTCCTTTCCCTGGTGAACCACTCATCGTCACACGACCGTGAGTCTCTAAGGTATTCTTCACTTTCCTGTAATTGTTGCTTATCTTCCTCAACACTTCCTCCACACCTGTTTATAAAGATAAAGGGATAGTTATATTGTGTCTTGATTTCATATTTTTAGTATATGCACAACACTGACATTTGGCAAACATATTCCATATAAAACTCAGTTAAATGCGAGATACTAACCCATCACATTGCCTTTTGCGTTTTGTATTTGAACCTATGAAGTTAGCACGTGTTTAAATTGTTACTCAATTTTCAAGTTCAGAATTATCATATTACGAACTCTAAATTCAAGTGAGAGGATTTTTGTTCACATGGTTTAGTTTTAATGCAGGAAGTAACATTTTACTATTAACACCATTAAAAGTCCATAAGATACATTTCAAGAATTCATCAATACTCCGGCCGTTGGTGTGGTTACATTTCACAACTTGTTTCTCCAAGGAGCGTGGTACAACTTGTCTGATCAAGGTTTTAACACCCAAGGACTTAGTAAAGCTTTCAAAGCGTTTTATGGTACACATGTGGAGGACATAACCATATTTGTCCGATGCGATTCCCTATTTTGAATTGTACCATATGTCCCCGTATTGTTTTCATGTGAACAATTAACTTGCCTTTGCATGTGTTTGTGATTGGTACCACTAGTGGGGCAGAATACGCTTACCGTTTCACGGACATCTGGTATCATCACTATTTGATAGTGATTCATAAACACATGCTCAAGGTGTAGTTGGAATTGTACAATCGACTCTCGGCAGATATATCTATTAAATAAGTAAATACGTTTTGTTGACTTATTTAAACTTATTTGTAAATTACAGTAAAACTATTAATTCCTGATCAATTTATTGTTTCGGGGTTTCTTCAATGAGTGAGTGAGTGGATTTGGATTTACGCCGATTTTAGCAATATACCAGCAATAACACCACGGGAGACACCAGAAATGGGTTTCACACGTTGTACCCATGTTAGGAATCGAAACCGGGTCTTCTGCATGACCAGCGAACGCTTTAACCATCAGGCTACCCGACCGCCCCTTCTTCAATGAAGCTGCATAAACTATACAATGTTTTGTGTCTACCTTCAATGAGGTCTCCACTGTACATCGGAGGCTCTTTCTTGTGTAAATCTGGATGAAAGAACAAAGGGTTGATCAATACATCTTTTGGCTGTTACATAAGGTTTATTGTCATGATTTCATGTTTTAAATATTCCCTTACTGAACATTCCACCACTTCCATGTCAGTTCAAACTTCTGTGAAACACAGTAATTCTTCAGAAACAAAAGAGTCATCAGAACATAATTATTATGTTGCAGATTGCAACATCCCCTAACGGCCCAATTCCAATATTATTGGTACATATATATATATTTAGATTAACTAGTTAACACATAACAATGGAAGCAATATAGACAAAATTCTACTGCTTTGCTTCAGGTTTCCCTTTTTATTTCAACAGTGTAGGTCCCGCCCTAAAACCCTGATGATTATATGCTATGCTTAACTTACCGTCTGTAAAGGACTCCACTTCAGATGATTCAGCCTCTGGTTAAAGAAACAAATGCTTGATGAGATTTCTTATGTAACAAATGTTGTATTTGGGATAACGCTTTCTTTGTAAAGTACAGATTCTCGTACTTTTTTTGGTTGCATCCCGTCCGGGATTCGAACCCACACTGCCAGAGTGAGGCACCTAATCATTGTGTGTTCAGAGATTTCTTATGATTGTGAAAATAACGTTGTTGCTTTTATTTAGGACTAACCATAGTTTGTATTGCTGTAATAAGACATAATGCATATACATTTTTTATTTTTCTACATATATAGGTACGTTGGATATCGATGACTCTTTCGTCTTCTTTTTCCAATATTTGGACCGATGGCTGTACGATTTCAATGGAAAATTATCAGAATGATCATATGTGCGAAATCTCAAATAAAGCAAATATTTCAAGTGCCGATTAGAACTTTCTGCAAATCAGATGAAGCAATTACTTCGCTTAAAGCTGCTCTAGAACCATGATACATTCTGGGAAGAAACCGAATGTGAAGTAATCCAACCGGAGCAACTAATAACTGTGCTGCAACTAAGCTAGATTGGTTCAGTGAATAAGACTGAACCATTAGACTTAATGGAATGACATTTGTATCGGAATTATAGCCGCCGTGGTATATGTGATTTTTTTACAGAAGTCTCAGAGGATGTCAGACAATGCCCAGTCATATGCTGAAATGAATCGAAAGTTCATGTGAGCTTCAAACTGAAGTAGCTGACTCATATGCTTCAAACGCGTCAATCAATCTCACAACAATGTAACAGCTCACACAGACCTCGGAGCATAATTTCCACATCAAATGAACCTGTGAAAAGAGCCACATCGGTTGTAAACCATGCGGAATCACATTGCTGCCAACATTCAACTATTGGTACTTTCGATTCTGGTATCTGTTTAGAGGGTATTCAGGACGCAGCAGTGCTGCACGCGGGATGCAAACAAAATATGTTTGGTGTGCAGATTCACTATTTAAAAAACATAAAAGGTATACATAAACATTTCCTTTATATATTATAACTTCAATATTTTCTCAGTAAAGTAACTTCGAAACACAGTCTATTATGACAAATAAACGTCTTCTATAAGTGTTAGTCTATGAATAAGATTGTGCTTTTTAGGCGAATTCTGGCATGTGCTCCTATATTTGTGTTACTTGGTATTCAGGATTCAGTGATGAGCAAACGAGAAATAAAAACGGCATTGGAGTGTGTGTGTGTGTGTGTGTGTGTGTGTGTGTGTGTGTGTGTGTGTGTGTGTGTGTGTGTGTGTGTGTGTGTGTGTGTGTGTGTGTGTTGGGGGGAGGGGGGGTGGGGAGGGTCAATCTCAGTTGTCATATAGTTGTATGCGTGTAGCGTATCGCTAAAGTTCAAACAATTCATTTAGCAACGTCTTTCATAGGTGTTTATCTATGATTGACATAGTGCCTTTTAGGCGTATTCTGGCATGTGCGTGTAGATTTGTGTTACTTGGTATTCGGGATTCAGTTATTAGCAAACGAGAAAAAATGATGGCATTGAAGGGGGAGGAGGGTCCCATCAGTTGTGTCATATAGTTGTAGCATATCGCTTAAGGTCAAACAATTCATTTAGCAACATGCTGTAACATGAAATTTGTTTTTTCTGACATAATTGGTTCTTTGAACGCAGACCACCTCGGATCATGAAGATTTTTTTCTGCAGCAGTGTAGACATCGGCATCCTAAAATATAATCGTGCCTTGTTGCTGTTGGGTGATGTATGTGCTATCATCCACTGCTTTGCGTGGCGAAAACTCAATTATTAACAGGATGCTGTGAAAGCTGAATTATGTTTGACTCTGGCATTCTTATATGATCAAACTGTTCAGGGAGTAAAGGCATCTCGAAGTCTTAGTTGCATTTAGAAAGAAGTGGACTTAGAAAATATAAGCCATATCGCACACATTAGAGTAATACACATCTTAAAGATATGTTATTATTATGACATTAATTGCCACACGGTAAGATTAAAACGTTTGTGATATTTCCATGGATAAAAGTATACTTTCGTCGTTCTGGTACCATATGTTTTTTTTAAATGGTCATGCCAGTTTAACTTGGGATGAGTGATGATTGTGCCTTCTTTGGTGGGAGGAGCTTAATGTGATGTGGTTATTAGCTGTAATCATTCAGGGATACACCACATGTCGTGCTTGCAGTATCAGGCTCAGTCATTGCAATCTCAAACCATTCAGTTGTAAACATTGTTATTTCTTTGTAGTCCTAATTATACAAGGGGCCCTGTTTTTCTTTTGTTGTTAAGTTTTCTCTAAAAGAGTTGCAATATGTTACTTACCCAGACTTCGGGAACTAAAACAAAAAAGAAGGGACATATCAGTGAATGCCATTCCCTGCTAATTGCAAACAAGTGCGCTTTTTACAACTGATTTCCTATAGTCTTGTACATTTACAAAACGAAATGTTATTAGATAACATGATATATGTCGTTCATGTCAAACAATGTTGTGAAGACATTAGTGCAGATGACAAATTTATTGATCGTTGTATTTACCTTTTCCTCTGTCTCCGCTTTCTGCAAATAGAAGACATGTCAGTGCACAAGTGTTTTTTTAACATTTTCGTCTTCGGGGTCAACCATTTGATATTATCGGACCAGTTCACGAGGATAATTTGAAAACAATAGAAAACATTTCCTGAAAAAGCGAAAAGAGGGTCATTAGTCATCAGATTTTATAATAATGAAATTATTGTTCATTGAACTTCGCGACCCTTCTCCACATTTTACTTATATATTTTGTGTTTTTCGAAAATACGAATCGCAGGCCGCCAATTGATAATAAATTGCAGGTCACTTGCCATAACATTATTTACACAGACAGAAGATCATAAAATCAGACACATCAGACTTTTGGCACATTTTTGCATCACAAATTTGAAAATTAAATTTCCCAAATTTCAAAAATGGTCCCTCATTGTGCCTCGTCCTTCAGGTAAACTGAATCTATATAGGCCGAAGGTCCATGAAATTAGTCTATGGTTGGAATATCCTATGTAGACTGTACACCAAACTCTAAAATTGAATTATGGATATAGAATGTTGTTTTACCTGTTCTTTCCTCTCAACCACCTGCAATGTACAATAACACAAGTACTTATTGAATTGGTCATTGTAATTTGAACATACCATTAGTATATGCCGAATTATATGACGTGGTTGTTCCAGACAAAGGTCTGTTAGATGGTGTTGTCACGTGAGCACAAGGCTGGGGACACAATCAAACATCTAACCCCATTAGAAGTGATCCGCAGTGTCAGCAGAATGCAGTAACTAGTTTTGAGCATGGAAATGGATTAACCTATTCATCACTATTTGAAAGACACATCCTATTCATCACTATTTGAAAGACACATCCTTAGGATAGTAATCGTACTATTGACTCTTGGATTTTTTTTTTTGACAAGGGTTTTGTCATCACATTTACATATTATTGTGAAAAGTGATGTTTCAGTTTCTGAAAGCAAACGTGCAACAACAAATAATTTTCAATCGATTGCTTTGCGTTTATGTTTAAACTGACAAATATTTCGACCACGCACAATAACGGACAAAAGGTTCCTGATTGCCTGATAATAGAATATGCAAAGTTTGTGTAACATTATTTTGATGAACTATATCACTACATTTCCCATTGTTCTTATTTCCTATAGAAAAGACAATTTTAGTGCACATCCATTGTGTATTCGTTTCTTTTCTGTTCTCAGGGATTTCAACAACAGATCTAATTTATTCAAAACATTTCAACTAGAAATATTAGATAACATCATGCCCCATGACGGGACAACAAATCAGAAGCTATCACAGCAAAAGTGCTAATTATTCAGAATGGCTCTGTGCAACATATTTTTCAGTTCCGAATTTTCTGTTTTCTGTTTTCTCACTTATTTGTTCGGTGGGGGTTGAGAAATGTGTTATGCTTGCAGAATCAAGGTTAAAATTCATAACAAGGCAGCACATAGTACAACATATTATACATATTTCATATCGAATCTACATAAGACCTCAGATTTCAAGACGCAGTAGGTGTAAATGTAATGACAAAACCATCACTACCCATTATGTACCTGTCTGTTTCAAAATGTATTTCTATTTTGCACACATATTGTTAGATGCGGGGCGTAACATACATTTCTGTTGTACTATGTATTGCCTTGTTATGACTTGTAACCTTGATTCTGCAAGCATAACACATTCCCCAACATTACTGAACTTAACCTACGTCGCATTTACTCGTCACTAAGACATTGAATGAAGAGAGAGGACAGCGCCAATCTAGGTTGCTGTTACACATGTCGGTTGACGGTAAGGAACCTGCTAGTTGTATGGTTGTTTTAGCTGAAGACATGTCGACATTTGTGACACGAGGGATTATTTATTTTTGAGACCTTTCAGCTTCATAATTTCACGGCATTCACGTGAAAGAAGAATGACTGTTGTGGCCCAACACAGTGGTTCGTGTATGACATGTGTGCGTATTGGGAAACATATTTGTCCATGTTTTATCAGATTTTGTTGCCAAGTGCGTTGGGAGATTTATGTGCAAGTGTTGTGAAGCACTAGAACAGGAACGAGTAGAGGTAGCATATAACCATAGTTTCGGCTTGGTCGAATTCTGCACTAGTGGATCCATTGCCAGCAGCCAACGTCTAAGAATATCCCAAACAGGTCCTAATGGTTTCACATCACGATGCGTTGCCGGCCAAGGCAGAGTGCTCTCATCAAGGCATGTGGTGGTTACAGTTACTACTGAGTTTAAGGGTTTGGAATGTCTTTCTGAGATAACAATAAACTCTACAGGTCCACAGTTATTGTAATTCCCACTTTGATTTAATTACAGTACTGCCAAAACTGAGTTATTTATGGAATAATAAGATTGAATATTGTCATGATAATCTGCATGTACGTTAGTATGCGTATTTGAATATAATAGGAAATACAAACATAAATTCACAGTTAAACACAAAACTGAATTCAACTACAAATAATTACCTTATGAACACAATGACTGTGAGTGTGACTGCGACTGCGACTGCGACTGTGACTGTGGCTGCGACTGCTACATTCAGTGTGAAAAGTTCCAGTATGGCATCCAGGCTGTTTGCGTCTTCCTTGTTGTTCGCCACTAGTGGAATAAAAGAAGGGTATACATACAAGTACTCATACAAACATCTAATAAATAGAGAACATTTCACTAGTGCGAGAACGAGCGTAGTATTTTATTTATTACGAACACGTCAATGAAGAAAATATCGTTTTTGTTACTGTTCAGAACTCTCAAATTTCTCCAAAATATTATGTCACATTGAGGTTTTCTCCACGTGATTTGAAATTATCGATTGTTTAGACAATCACACTGATACACATTGTAACCTGGTATATCATAAAAAAACAGGGGCCATTCAGTTTGGATATTGTAGGCACTGAATGTTCAAAGTGGCTGGACAATAAAGAGAACTCGTCCATAAATTTTGACACAATCGTTAACACAAATTTCTGGTGCCACCATTTGATTCCCACCCATATATAAGTGATAATGTTAGTTTTGTCCATCATATTCATTACCAAATGAAAGACATTTGAACTTGACCATACAAACGAAAATTGTTTATCAAGGAAAAACAACAGTTCAGGTGTTACGATGGTCACAGTTGTCCAATCAAAGGGGATAAAACAATGTCAACCCTCTAGACACGCCAGTGTACGGATTTAATATCTAATCACCTGTGTCTTGACCACGTGCATAATAATTAATATTGTTTATGCCCAAAGATCCATTATATTTTAGGATCTTATATTATGTGGCAGTATATTGTGTAACTATGTTTCAATAATTGTAAGTGACAGTAAATTGATCAAGGCGCTCGTAAAATAACGCCTTTTGCTGGTGACACTGACAGCTAGTAATTCGGAGTTACCTCCCTTTAGTGGCATTGTTTTTGTCCCAACATGGTCCCAACATATGAGACAAGTTGTATTGCATGTTAAGCATGTGTATTTTCGTACCTTTCGTAGTGTTGCAAAACTCCCCTGTGTAAGTCCCACTGCAGCCGAGTATACAGGCTCCAGTTGTGTGGTTGCATCTTTCCTCCAGACAGTTGATGCTGCAGGGGTGTTGACACTGATCGCCATACCAGCCACGACCACACTCTGGACAAACAAAGTATCAGATATATGATGAAGTAACTTCTTTTTCGCACTTTATTATAATAATTGCTGTGAGCAAATTATTAATGTGAGGAATTGTTCATGTCAGCATGAATAAAACCCCTAATTACGTTATCCTGATACAATGGTGTGTATTTCACTGTGAAAAGAGTAGGACACAATAAACATTATTGATGACACAATACAGTCATTGAATCGTTTTCTTCGTACACAAGTATTTAATCCTGAATTAAGTTTATGGCATACAATTGATGCTAGTGCACGTAAGCAGATGATGAAAGTTTTCTTTGACGCTTGAAACATGTCTAAACAGGCGAAAAGAGAAGTGATATACATGTTTTTAACTTTTTAGTTGAGATTACAGATCGTCACAGCAAACGTATTTATTTCACAATGTAACATTATTTGGTATATGTTGAGTTAGCAGTGGAACTCAACAAATATGTTCCACTTGGTTGAGAGGTGTTCTTAATTTGACCCTTCCACTTTGATAATGATCTTTTCCATGTGTGTTTCTTCTTTTGATGACATCCAACTGTGTGCAAATCTAGAGAGTTTAGTGTTAGTTTTAAGTTCTGAGTTTTATTATCACATGATATATTTCACAGAGAATTGGCCACCATGGCGTACTTCTTTTATATATGGTATTTGACAAGGAGCTGTGATTATGAAAAAGAAAGTTGGAGGGGTCAATCTACTTTTGCGCTCATCAGTTCATAACTCTCCACAGAACACATAGCATTCTTTTAAATGAGGTAAGAGCTGTATCCCTTCAGCTGGAACAACATTTATACCATTCTTTTTTCATTAAAGTCATTTTCTCCCGAGCCTTTGACAATGGCAAATTGTGACTACACCAAATGGTTCGTTTAAGACCATGTGAGGCAACAATAGAGTTAACATAATGGATGGTTTTGACATTTTAGTGGATCTTTTCACAAACCCATTTGTCAAACTTAAATTGAGCCATATCAATACAAGTATCAATGATTTATCCTTCACGTGGTCGAAAATGAAATTGTGGAAAATTTAGCAGATCAAAGTTCATGTTAATGTCTTTTTTTATCACAGCAAGTCAGGTGAAACATTTAGATTTCCAAGGGCAAATGTAGTAACAATTTCTCATGCGTTTTTCCATGCATCACGATTAATAGTTAGACAAAAAACAGTTTCCCAGAACTTCCCACAATATTCCGAATTTCAGAAACCACTTCCTTTTCCTGGACGAAAACACTCTCATCCAGGCTGTTTAAAAAGAACAGACCTGTGAATATACGTGGAAGAATAGGTCTTCAGCAACAGGTGACCATGCTTGTCATAAGGGGTAACTATGCTTGTCGTATGAGACAACTAACAGGATCAGGTGGTCAGGCTCGCTGACTTGGTTGATGCATGTCATCATGTCCCAATTGCGTGGATTAATGCTCACGATTTCAATCACTGGATTTTTTACAGACTGGAATACTGCTGAGTGCGGCGTTAAACAACAAACAAGCAAGCAATTATAGGAATATGTTGCAGAACGTGGACTTGGCTGTTCATGGTCTAAATGCCACTACTTGTGGCTGCCAGGACTCATCATACTGTGCAGGCCATATGATCACGTGTGACTTCTCTATTGTTGACGATAACAACATTCTTCAGTTATTCAAATATGGACCAAGATCCCATGATCAGAGTCATTCCATTTGGGATCACAACTTCAAAATCATTATGGATGCTGTCAAAGAATATGCCAAAAATGGGCCAAACGAGAAGAGGAAACTGGTGAATGTCTTTAAGAGTGGGTTAAGTCAGTGCGTGATGTTGCCATTGGTAGAATACATCAACTTAAAAAGAGGAAACGGAACCGGAATAAACCCACTCTGTCACAGTCAGCTCCAAAGTCTGGTTGTCCTACATGAAAAGTTTGTAGTTGTCCCCACTTACAAGGCCTCAAATAACATGACCATTATATGTAAACATCACTACATTTATTGTTTGATCAAAGAACTTGGTATCAATGCCATATCAAATAATGCCACATATAAGGCCAGTATGTTAACCGAGGAAGGCATCTGCCCAAACCATAAATCAGTACTGTCAACTTTTGACTTGACTTTAAAACCTGAAGACATGTTCATTCCTCTCTTGTACTGGATTTTAAAGCTCAATAAATTCTATTCAAAGAGAGAAATGTATTGTTGGGTCTAACAAGTGTACCACCGATTCCTGTCTCAAAGACCATAATCCTTAATACAATCAAGGAAGGGCTTTCTTCATATTAACAGAAAGAATTTGAGACAAGTGGAATTAATACCAATTTGATTCTAAGGGTTTGCTTGACCTTGTAATCTCAGAAAAGAATCATTCTGTGATTTTTTTCTACTTTGTACACCACTATCCCACGTGACAAACTTATGGAAAAAGCTTCACTCCTTGATCCATAGGGCTTTTCTTACAAAATTTGGTAACAACAGATACAGTTAGGTTCAGGACAATTTTTGAAAAATGAAAGGACAGGCAATCTGAAATTTACTATTTTATTTTCTCACATTTTAAACTATATCAGTGACTATTTGGAGTTTTTGTTGGATATTATTAGCAAGGTTAGATGACATGACACTATAGTTACAATGTTGAAATTAAAATGGACTGGTATTTAGTTTCCGGTCACAATTCCCATTTACAAATCACCCTTACTGTTCTGATTATCAACATCACAGTTAAAACAAAAAGAGTTAATTTAATTTGTATGTACAATTTCATTAACTAAAGCTAAATTCTTATTATTCTGGAAATGTAGACCTCAGAGCATTGATGCGATTTTAAGCTCCCATTCATTTCAGGATAAATACGGAAAGCTGAATGGTCTAATGATAAACTGTGCCACATCAGCGAAATCTTTTAAATAATCTTACCTCCAGTATCATCACAAAAAAAGCCTGTGTTAGTTCCACTGCAGCCAAGTGTACAGTGCCCAGTTTGATGGTTGCATGTCGTGTTTAGACAGTTCTGGTTGCAGTCTTGATTACACAGATCACCATGCCAACCACACTGGCATCCCTCAGAACACTTCCCCGTGTCAGTGTCACAGTATGGAACATCAAGTGGAGGAAGAAGGGCACAGTTCTGGGGGCATGTTAGGTTGCAGTGCTCGCCATGTAAGCCCCACTTACATGCTGTGTAGCCCTGGACAACCACGACTGAAATAGAGCATAAAATGGTAATCCTAGCATATCATCGTTATGAATATCAACATCTGGATAATCCATTGTTTTGTGAATCGCTTACTGTTCTTATCACTAAAGCTTCTGGCTTTAACATCTAAATTTGCAAACTACGTTTTTTTTCCAATCCACTGACGAAAATTTACTCTTCTTATCATAAAAGCTTCTTAAGCGTCTACATTTTTTTATCTGGAGGTACTGCTTTTAGATCAATCCTTATTCAGTTTGTCCATCAATAGCGTGTGTAGTTTAATTGGTATCATTCGTGTTTACTTCGTGTTATTATTTTACACAAGTTACTCACAGAATGGCAGCAGAAGTTTGGAGAGTCCCAGCATCGTTGAACAAACACCTGAAACAGAAGGAATGACTTTTGTTATACATATTTGAAACCTCAACATACATTTTCAAGATACCAAAATCAACCCTGAATGTTTAGGATTAAACTTAATACTGGACACATATTCTTTCCAACTTTCAGAAGGCGTGATTAACATAGAAACGATAAGAAAAAAAATAGTACATAGGCACCACTCAGATGGGTTTGTTTACCCACCCGGTTTGCTATCAGCGGATATGCAACGAGGTCTCCGACCTCATTTCACTGTGTATGCAGACCCAGGGGATACCAAAATGTCCAATGAGGACAGCCTCGGGACTAACCGATCACTCAATGTTAATAGGTTTCATTTACAAAGTACTCTTTAAACTATCTAATAGTACAGAATGGCCCCTCCCTTGTTATACAGCCATTAGTTACTGGCAATGTCACATTTCAATTGTCGTCGGTGAACTATTTATAGTATGGGGTTTCCCGTTATTGCACCATACCTAGTCCCGCACCGTCGTTCTCTCCTACTGCTGACGAACTATTTTTAGCATGACGTCATCCAGACGCGGCGTTCATGCAGCACGCTCATTTTCCTTTCATCAAATGTTTACAGTTCTGCTAACCCCATAATCTAATATAAAATGTCAATGGCACTGGATGGAAAAGGAACAATAGCAGAAAAAAGGAGGTCCAAACCAGGTCTTTGCGAAAGGGATAAGCATGTTCTTCACCCACTCACACAATATGACTTGACCAGACAGAAAATCCGTGACACAATAGCCGCTGTGTACAGAGCTCATAACAAAAGAAATATGCACCACACGTAGGGTGGGGTTGAGAGGGGGTGGGTTAAATGTTTCAGCCCATACATTTCTTTTGCAGTTGATTCGGCATAACTGATCAATGCTACTGGGCTTGTGATGAAAATACATATCAAGCAGACGTATTCTCTACTTTGAAAAAAACAGTGGAATACATGATTCCTACAGAAGATGTATTAAATTATATTATTCAAAGATTTCTCTGTTGATGTTTTCACATTGAAGAGCATTTCACCTATCTCATGTATTGATACACAAAGTGATGCCTTTCCTGGACGTTCACCAATATGAGCAATGTTATCCATTATCGTTGTTGTTTATTTTGTTTTTTTTAGAGGGATTGTGCAAATCTTCACGACTATTTTCAAAGACGATAAGTTTTCCTTACAGTGTGCAGGTTAATTTTGAAATAGATATAAAATCATCCTAATGTGTGGGGCAAAATATGTTTACTCATAAAGGAAACATATCACGTGGTTGTGGTTATCATAACCCTGCACATTTCATTTTTTCCGGCTCATGAGGAAAAAGAAAACAATTGCCTTAAACTATTTAAAAGAGAGTGAGTCAAAGGCGCCTATAAGGTCAATCCAACTTCACAAACACAAACCCAGATGTACACTGGACAGTGTGGCACAGCTTACAGTAACACACAACTGTATGTATTCATGTTGTGTTGAGCTTACAGAACACATCATGACACTGTTGAAGTTCATATGGATGACATATATGGTAATTTATTCGAAAGGTAAGTTGCCCCATAAACTGATTTGCTAATGGTACATCTCAGTCAGTGGATCATGTACAGAATTTGTCTTAAAATAAAGCCTGATGTAACAAAGTAACTGCTTGCATACTCTTAAATGTGGTCTGCTGACGACATATCGTTGCCTTCATGAATTAGAAGTTAGTGTATGCTGTTAATGTGACATATGCTCTTATTAAAGGGTACTGAAGCCATAGTATCAATTATCAAATATTGTAGTCTTTTCTATTTCAGGTGACAAGTGTAAGTACAACCAGCACTGTTCAGAATGCGACAGAAGTACAGGACATTGCCTTACAGACTGTGACCCTGGGTATTTTGATCAGATCTGCAGTTCAGAATGCAGCAGGAACTGCAGAAATCACTCATGTCAGTTGTCAAGCTCTGGCATTGGTGCTTGCACAAAGGGGTGTGTCCCTGGATATCAAGGTCCTGGGTGCAGCATACGCTGTGACAGTCCAGGAGGTACCTGTGCACCATGTCCAGGTGGTTGTGATGGAGGATATTGTCAGCTGGGCTCCTCCTGTGTGTCTGGATGTGTTGACTCCTGCTACGGTACTGACTGTAAGACTTGTACAAGTAGATGTAAGTCCTGCAACAGGATGACAGGATTGTGCAAGGAGTGCCACCCAGGATATTTCGGTCCAAACTGTGCTTATTCCTGTGATCACTGCCTAGGATCGTGTGAACATGGATGCTCAGAGGGCTGTCTTCCTGGGTTTTATGGCACTTTCTGCGAGGAGAAGTGCAGTGAAAAGTGTGGACCAGACCCCAACATTTCTACTAGCAAGCCTCTACAGGCACTAAATGCTGCTTTTCGTCACTGCCACAGAGCTAGTGGGGATTGTATCCACGGGTGTGCACGTGGCTTCTATGGTGGACTCTGCCAGCACACGTGTGAAGTTTGTCTTGATGGTGTCTGTGATCAGACGTCTGGCACCTGCACCATGGGCTGCCACCTGACTGGACAAACGTGTGATTCTACCTGCACGTTCAACTGTTCTATTGCGGAGTGCCGTAGACTGGAATATTGCAACAAAGGTAAATATTACACTCCACTGCTTTGTACACGCGAGTGGCCAATATATCTCATGTTATTGTGTTAGCTAATACTTTCCTGTCACCTATTTTCTTATATTTGACAGAGGACAACAGTGTTATACAAATAGCCATCCTTTCGACAGCGTTACTGGTTTTGGTGGTTGGAAGCATACTGTCAGTGAGGATCTGTTGCCGCAAGCGTGTGGCGATGATGAGGTAAGGGGGGTCTAACACATGATATCGGTAGTGTGATATGGGATCATATATAAGAGTGATATTGAAGGTTGGCAACCTTTTCAGTATCCTCTCTCAAACAGACACATGTAGAAACTATATTTCATTATAAAACGTCAATAATAACCAGTGTTGTCTATGCAGCAGACATAATAAAGGCTTTCATAGCTTTATTTGATATCACCAACATGACGTTATTGCTTCCTGGTGATATAGCCACTGTATTTATGCATGACGATATATATTCCTGGTTATATATCTACTATATATATTCATGACATTATAGCATCATGCTGATACAGCTACTGTATATATTCATGACGTTATACTTTCCTTATGTTATAGCTACTGTTTATGTTCATGAAGTAATATGTTTCTGGTGATAAAGCTACTATATATAGTCATGGTGTTGCAGCTTCATGCTGATATAGCTCTGTTATATATTCACGACATTATACTTTACTGTTGATACAGCTACAGCATATATCCATGAGGCTATAGTTTACTGTTGATACAGCTACAGCATATATCGATGAGGCTATAGTTTACTGTTGATACAGCTACAGCATATATCCATGAGGCTATAGTTTACTGTTGATACAGCTACAGCATATATCCATGAGGCTATAGTTTACTGTTGATACAGCTACAGCATATATCCATGAGGCTATAGTTTACTGTTGATACAGCTACAGCATATATCCATGAGGCTATCGTTTCCTGGTGATACAGTTATGGTTTATAGTCGTGATGTTATAGCTTACTGATGATACAGCTAGTGATTATATTCATGACGTTACAGCTTCCTACTGATTCATCTACTATATATATCCATGACGCTATAGTTTCCTGGTGATACAGCTATTGTTTATAGTCATGATGTTATAGCTTACTGATGATACAGCTAGTGATTATATTCATGACGTTACAGCTTCCTACTGATTCATCTACCGTATATATTCATGACGTTATCCTTTTCTTGTATTAGAGCTATTGTATTTTAAGCTAAAGATTTTCAGCATAATATCTGTGCTCTTGAGAGTTTTTTTATTTCAAGTTGTTTTTGTACGTTCAATGTTTATGTACACTCCATGATATAACTGAAATACTGTTCAAAAGTAGCATGCAAGTTTAAAGAAACACCTTTTCTTTGAATAATATAATTTGATTGTTTGCAGATAATTATATCAATATCAAATGATGGAAAAACTATCAATTTGCAGATAGCTTAAATATTACAATTGCGTCATGATGCTGGATGAGTTGGTTCGAATCCCAGATCCTTTTTGTTTCCTGTAATACCTTGCACCCTATCAATTTCAGTAAAACATTATAGTTGTAACACAACCACACAACTTCTTTTCGTACTTTCAGGTTGTAAAGTTTATACAAATGTAGTTACATCTGAGGTGAATGCTTGTAGAATGTCGACTAGAAAAACACTCAAAATGGTCAAGAAGTTTTTCTTGTTTCTTCAGAGAACGTCCACAGGAGAGAGAGCTGAAATTTCGACAGGGGCCACAATCTGGAGAGATGGACGCACCAGAGACGCGCCAGGAATCCGAACAGGCATACCACGACATCTATATGAATGAGACGGGCCCAGTGATAGTGTATCTGTAACTGTTGTTGTTTTACTTGACAGTTACTTTCACTGTTTATTCATCCTTTGCCCAACTGTTGGTGTTGGTGAGGTTTGTGTCCAGGATTAAGTAGTAGTCAGTTAGTAACGTTTACTGTATGTACAATGCGATATTTTGTAATAAAGTAATACCTGAGGTTGACATGAGAATGTAAAACAAATTAATATTTGGGTAAGTTATAAACTTCTTTGGAATACACTTGTTTCTTAATTGACGATATAGTCTACACATAAGCATAAAATGATACTCTTTTTTTACAACATTAAGGTTACAAGATGTACAGATATTGTTAGACTTTTTAAATATACCTTTTCATTGTAACAGGTATTAGATATTCTTCGAGTATTTATTGTTGTTTGAAGAGGGAATGGGTATATGTACATTTGCTATTTCTTAGTTTTTCTTTCCACATTTGCTGAAAACAATTTTCAGCTCTTTTGAGTAATAATGACATAAACATCTTGGCATTTCCAACACCCTGATACATCCATGCGTATCCAAGGCCTAAACTGAAAAGGGTGATTTTTATATTTGTTACC